GTCATTAGATCTGCTCAAACACACACACAGAGACACCCCTCCCATGCTTTCTTTTTCTCTCTCTCTTTGCTGGAATGGGTATTGTGTTCATGATCGATGTGCCTCATTCCAGTGACGTGGTAGCCTGGCTAACTCTCATTAAAAATGGATAGGATGTAGGGGAGCCGGCAGTGTATGTGTGTCTATACGTGTTTAAAAGGAGGTGTAGGTGGCATGAAGTCCCAGAGGTGCAAGCTGTTTACTGCTCACTGCTGAAGGTTTTGAAGGTTGGAGGGATAGGTGGTGGTTGTGGTGGTAGATGTGGGAGTGTTCCTGAGGTCCGAGCCAGGCCTGTTGCCTTGGCAACAATTTGCAAAATAGCTTCCTCTGCAGTACTGGTGATGATGGGATTTTTTTTTTTCTCATTCTGTTGCTTTCTCTCTCGCTCAGCATGGCAAGGCACATCTGGCACCACCGAGAGTAGATCTCATCAGAACACAGAGCAATGGGCCCTTTCTGCACTGCTCTCTCCTCCTTTATCCCTTGTTCTAGTCTTTCTTTTTCTGTCTTCCCTTCCTACTCTGTCTCTGTACCCCCATCCATCACAGAGGTGCAGTTAGCATGGCTGGGTCTCAGGGCAGCAGGGCAGAGGAGCTGAAATGGAGCCACCACTCATTCTCAGCCACGGAGAAACCAGAACAGATGAAAGCATCCCTGCTGCTCTCTAATGTACATACATTGTCAACCCTCTCTTGGGTGCAAGAGCCAAACCTCTGCCTCTATCGTGTGTTGTACTCTTCTTCACTCAAAATTGAATTGAAAATGAGGCGTGGACACCGTCTTTACAGGTGGCTAGACATAATGCTGGAAAATATGTGCAGTGGGAATTTTATCATCTGGCTTTTGTTTGTTAAAGACAAGGCAACGCAACTGTTGCAGTTCCCACACCACTACCCCTCTGTGACTCTGACAGTATCACGACATAACTGCTTTTTGGTTTTGGTTTTGGTGAAGCTGTTTTCTTGAGACACAACTGCAGCAAAGATCAGCCATTATTTATAAAAGTTACACAATAAAGGTCCTCATGTTGGCAGAAAGAGGTGCCAGGTTGATTTTAGAAAACCTCCTTACACCAAATTTGCATGACAAAGAATGATCTTTTCATAAAACTGTTGTTTTTAATACAGTAGGGATAGAATTTCTGCATGAAAGTCTTGCCCAAATCAAGACAGTAGCTATAGGTTTCAGTAACAAACATTATAACCATGCATTAGTGAAGCCTTGGCAACAATAATGGAAGCTGAAGCCTATTCAGCATGAGCCTTTGAAAGAGAGGACTCTGTTGTTTTAACCCTCGGCTGTCAGTCAGTCATCCAGGCTGCTGCAGTATGTGACTCCACTGTAGCCTCTTTGGTTGAATAACCCCCTGCTAAGGTCATCTTAAGCTGGAATTCTATTAGCATTTATTTAGCTGGGGCGCAGTACTTCTCACTGACAATACTCCGTCTACCCCGGGTCAGCTGTGGGTGTGAATGTAATTCTTGGGAGACAGAGACAGAGCGCAGAGAAAGTTGGAAGCAATATCAGATGACATGCAGCGCTTCTTTGTCTTTGATAATAAACACAGGAGCAACAATCTGCACATCCGTTATGGCGCTGTGCATGTGTGTGCACAAACACACATGCACATGCATGCACAGTGGGAGAAGGGGCTTCATTGTGCAGCCCTGCTGTGTTGAGTGACTGTAGCGTGTGCTGGGCAACAGCTGCTGTGATCCCCCGCAACCCCCCGCCCCACCTCGTCCCCCTCACCTCCACTACTGGCCCATGCTGGTCTAAACATCAATACCCTCACACCGCCACACACAGAGACACACAATGCGGTATATACAGCACATGTAGGCATGCTTTCTTTTATTTCAGTTGTGAGGTTTTTGTTTTCCTGTTTACCTTGCTCTCCTTCTTCCATATTACCCCCTTTACCATTTATGTGTGTGTGTCTCAGTCTGTTTGAGCGGACAGCAGGCTGTCTGTCTGTTATTAGATAGCACAGTGTAAGGCACAACCCCAGCTCCTCCGACTACTCCCTGGCTGTCCCTCACTGACAGCTCTCTGCACACTGTAAACCCAACATGGAGACAGTCCTCTGTCAAAGTTATTCTATAAAATTTCACAAGTCTTTGGGATGGGTTTTTTGGGCTTGAGACTGAATCAGAGCCTTTGTACATGCACAAACTGAGCTGCTGTTTCCCCAGGAAAGTTTCATTCCTGGTGGGCTTGTTTGTCGTCACTTGCAGCTTCTGCAGCTGATGCGACCCTGTCTGCAGCTCATTACAACATGCCACCTGTTTGTCCTGAAGCTAGGCGAGACACACTCACAAATAAAGTTTGCTGGGGTGACAGGGGGTTAATCTAACAGAAGTGTCCGTAGCGGAGCTGCCACACAGTGCGGGGGCTGTCACCATCCCGCCCTGTCAATGGTTTTCTTTGTCCCGTGGTCCCGTCTTTCTGTTGCCGCAGGGTTTATGACCAGGCAGACAGGTGGAGGGTTATTCAGCTTTTGAGGAGTGAAGACAAAACAAAGAAGAAACATATAGGCTGGGACACATATAGCTCACAGTTTTCACAGCAGCTGACACGTTTGCAAACTACAGCTTTTCACAGGTCCAGCAATAGCAGGCACCAGTTACGATTTTTGCTCTCAGCTGTTCTTTTCATATATTGTAATAGAGAACAGCCATTGGTGGACTCCCAGCTGGTACCTCTTCCTAGCTGACAGTTAATTTCAGGCCCATGGTGCTAACAGCAATTAATATAACCCAGTTGTGGGCGATTTGCACAGGGTTTGAAAAAACACTTGAAAGGTGTTATTTGAACCCTTCATTCACTAACCCACACTTTGCAGAGGACCCACTTAGGCATCGATCTGAGCCGAGGTTTGGGGCTGAACAGGGCACACACTGTTGCTGTCATTATCCAACAAGGCAATTGGCAGGAACCTGAAAGACAGACAGGACTGGAAATTAATCTGAAATTCACTTTTCCAGCCCTTACTTTTCTTGTCCCTGTGTGTTTAACTGCTTGTGGTGTTTGTGTCAGTGTATGCGCATTCACTCCCGCTGGCAGAGTGAGATGCAGGTGTGAGCAGAACAGCGCCATGGGACACTTAAAGATATGCACACACACACTGACCTCTAGATGGGACAGACCGCTGTGCTGCACAAACAGACTGAGGGCCATGTGGCCGAGCGGAGCCTTGTCTGGCAGGCAGACAGACAGACACAGCGACACAGCTAGATTCACACATTCACTGAAACTAACAGAAGGATAAGTGTGTGTTATGTTGCAGTTGAAAACAGGCCCAGTTTGTGGATCACACAACTCAGCTGACTCACACACTCAGTAGTTGTCTAGCTGAGAAGATGTGTGCTTTATTCTTTTATTTCTCTGGTGTGCTGTGTTGAAGCATGTAAATTCTCAGCCCTGTATGTGTGTATGTTTTATGTCAATCGCATAAGAACATAAGCATAGGGATGTTTGTTCTTTATTCAAATGACTGTAGTCCAACAGCCATGTGTGGATTAGTGTGGATTCGTGGGTGTGGAGTGTGTTTGCTCTGCTCTGGTAGTGCATATTCAAATGCTTCACTCTATTTCAACATGTTTTGCTTTGAAATACCATTTTGTTTTTCTCAGTCTGTTTGTATTGTTAAAAGGAACTTACACTACAACATTAATTAGGTTTCAGTTTTACAGCATTTGTTTAATAATGTGAATAATGTGTACATAAGCTGTGGATAAAACGTTACCCCTGTTAGTAATGAAGTAGTCCTACTGCAGACATGTCACAAATTGGTGACAAAGTGCCCTGTCATTCCTAATAATTCAAATTCCCTGATGTATTTTTCATTTTTGTAATAAACGCCTCTGTGTGTAGGTGTCTGTACACACACTACCTAGGTGGACAGATGCCTTTGTACAGACAAAAGCCCACTGATGTCAAGGAAACAGTTTTCTCTGGCCAACTGATCCCAGCTGCTCACTACTGTTTCCTGGACTTAAGTTCAAGCTAACAGTTGCCTGTGCAGTTGGCATCTCACTCACTGACATACAGTACAGAGACCTAGTGTGCTCAGATAGTTTGAGGCACATCGTTCTGTACATCAGGTCTACATAAAACATTAATATTGTTTTAATACTAAAAATCATGCCTATTGTAACATACTGTATTTTCACAATTCTTAAATTCTACCAGAGGTTTTCAGTTTTATGTTTTTGTTTAATATATGTGGAAAAGTAAAATTCTTGGTGAATCATCTGTTGGTGTGTGGCTGACACACACACACACACACACACACACACACACACACGCATAAACCCAGAGGCTGCTTTTGTGCATCTTGTGATACTTTACAGGCTGCACTGTAACTCTGATCTTTTCATGTGCTTCAAGGTTACCCAGGTTCCCATTGAGTCCTGTGAGCAGTACGGGACCTGTGGAGAGTGTCTGAGCTCCGGGGACCCGCATTGCGGCTGGGGTGTTCTGCATAATATGTAAGTACTCCCAAGCCATCATTTTACATTATGTTTAGTGCCAGTTCACAGATATTTTCAATACAAATTTTGCTTTACATCTCCCCAAATGTAAGTGCAATGGCAGGGTTTACATTTTTTGTTTATCTCAAGATCCATTCGAGTTTGAGGAGAGGAGACATTGTGTGACTGGAAATGGGTATTTATGCCTCAGAGGTGCAGAGCTGGTTCAGAGCTACTTGCTGAGGTCATAGTGCCCCCTGACCTGTTGTGACATCATGTGATATTAACAGGAAATGAGACCATTCAGTCTGTGTAGGACTTAGTGGAATTTAAAAAGACAGACATCAGCAGAGCTAAAGGACTTTTTATTTGACCAGTAGTGTCTCACATGCACTTCACTGTGCCTTTACATGTCCAGTGGACATGGTGTAATGCTATGTTGTGTGTGTTTTGAGCAAGTTAGGGGATGTTTACCTCTCACTCTAACAGAAACATACATAATTATGAGCATAGAAACCATGAGTGACACCTGCTGGAGCCCAATAGTTACTGCAGCAGAACTAACTTGTAGAGAACCAGACAAGAGGAAAAACAGCCAGAAAAAACATGATTGTTTACTGTATTTTGGGTATGAGCTGTCCACTGTGGTATTCCTCTATAAATGAAAACGAAGCGACTGTATTTAGATTAAATTCAGCACAATACTATAAAGCTGAAAAACTGTCTGTCCTGTCTTTGTGTTTGTGATGACACATTCTCTTATCAGTCTGAGCTTTTTTTAACAGCTATGTCTTGAATTCCCCACTTGTGGCCCCTCCTAAATGTGGACCCTCTCTCTAAAGATATAGCAGAATATTTGTGTCAGAGCACCGCTGTAATCATCATTATCATTATCATGGCCCCAGCAAAGTGCACTTAAAGTAATTTACATCACTCCAAAGCTGGGACAGGACAAATAATTGCCTAGTGACAAGGTAATTCAGCATGTGCCTGGTACGGGAGGGGCTGGCTAAAGCTCTGTATTCTCTGCAGGCTACATGCCTTCACACAGTGATCATTTACCACAACATTAGCCTCCGTGCTAGGCTGTTAATCATATACCTTTGTGTAGGTAAGGCAGGGAATGGTATCATTCGAATTGGTAGGAAATCAAATCCACAGCAAGCTGAATGGGTTTTGAAGCTATTAACACAGCTGTGAGGAGGAAGCAGCTGTTTGGTGTGTACTTGAGTATGTGTGTGAGTGCATGCATGTGTGCATGTGGGTTCAGTTTCTCTGTACATGCCCAGACACTTGTGTGGACTGATGTACTGTACTGTGAGGAGAAAGGTCAGGCCCATGATACACGTCAGATCAGCCATCTGTTCTCCAAACACCACAGACCCTCGTGCCTTCTGTCCCTTGTCCTAATCCCACTTTCTCTGTCATGACCCTGCAATAAGTCCAGCGGGCCCCTGTCAGCTCTGGCTGAGTTATTGTACAGACAAAAAGAAGTTAAAGGAAGAACACTTAGCTCTTCTCGCTGCTACTCATGTGTTCTAACTTTTGTTGTGCATTTTAATTTTAGCATAATAAACAGAGGAGGCGTTTGTATTATTTGCATTTTATTTTGCCAGGGATGGTCCCGTTGAGGAATGCATATTGCTTCTTTTGGTGTTAACACCAGTATGGTTTATGTACATGGGAAATAAAATTGGCTCAAGTAGTGAACCTTGGGGTACACCATTTAAAACTGCATGCCAGTTGGAGATAAGGCAATTTGCTTTAGAAATCCTTCCAGACAAATCATTTGAACACCATCCAGCAGCTTGATTGGACAAGCATATGTTGATTAGCCTTCGCTTTATAAAGGAGCAATTCACCAGGTCAACGGCTCAATAAATCAATAAATAAAACTGCACTGTACTATTGTTTATCCAGAGCTATAATGATATCATGTACAACCTTTATGGCAGCAGTGATTATACTATGTTGCTCCCTAAAACCAGACTGGTATTTAGACATGATATCTTCAGTATGCAAGAATTCTTTTGGCTGATTTCTCATAAGTGTTTCTAGAGTTTTTGCCAACTGATAAGTTGGAAGTAGGTCAAAAACTGGAAATGTCAGAGACTGAATAAAATAACTGTAATACTGCAAGCACTTCTACTCAGGGCTAAGTTGGAGAAGCCTGATTTAGCTTTTCCTACTGTAGAAAAAGCTTTTGTGTCTTGTTGTCATTCACAATTACATGCCTCTCCACCAGTATATCCCAAAGAAATTATGCATAAAATCAGTGGGGGCCTCTTGGGTTGGCATAGCTACAATACCCCTGATTCAAATCCAGACAGTGGCTCTTTGCATGTCACCCACTCTCATCTGTGACAGTAGTGGGTGATGAAAACACATTACCGTACATTTATATAAGAAAGCACAAACTCATTCATTATAAAAACACACGTGCCCTTTTTATATTGATAGCAGTAGTAATATTTACAGGTGCTGACTTAAATATGCTATGTTGTCATGCCCGCTTCAGTTACTTGCTAGGTAGCTGATGTGAACACTTATTTACCGGGCAATTCAGAAATGTTGATTTTATTGGAAGCATAATTAATGACAAAACAAAGTAAAAGTAGATGTTACCTGAATGCTTTTAGATATCATGATTGTTCAATATAACCAAGAGCAGGAGGAAGAATCTGTCAAATACAGCTGGAGAAACTCAGCTGCACCCTTCTGGTGAAGAGCTCCCCTCATCCTACAAACCCAAAATTAGATTTCTTGTCAGTTGTGGCACCATCTACAGCTGTGATCACTGCATTCTGCCTTCTTTTCCCTCCATTTCTCCAATTCTCCACCATTCACCCCTAAGCCATTGCTGATTTTGTAAAATGATCTTTCCCATGTTTGCACGTAGCTCCCTCTCTCCCTTCACAACAAACCTATAGCGTCTAAGCTACGCCACTCATCTCGTGTCCTCTCAGCTCACCTCTACTCTGTCTACCATCTAAACACTTTCCTCTCTGGAATTAGTTCTTCCACACTCCAGAGATGATTGTCTTGCCACATATAAACACCCCACACTTTGATCACTCACTTCCTTCTTATACAGCTGCCATCCACAATATTCACACTTTTTTCTTATCCTCTAAAGACTGCAGCCCCGTCCACTTTTTTCCTAATATCTGTGTCCGTATGCTCATTGAAGTGCAAACATTCTAAAGTGGCTAATTAGGAACATAGAAGGACATTAGCTTAGTTTGTGATGCTGAGGAGAAGGAGGGAATGTGAGAGAGGTAGAATGAGGCGGTGAGCTGGGCAGGAGTGGTGTCTCTGTATTCCCTGTCTTTCTACCTTCTTTCTTCTTCTTCTGATTCAGTGTGGTGTGAGACTGAAATCCTTTAATTACCAGCAGCTGCTAGGCATCCGATGAATGCTTGAAGAATGAGAGGGGGGAAAAGATTGGGGGGGTAAGAATAAGGGGAAGAGAATGAGAGAGGGAGAGGAATGTTTGATGCAGCACATTCATCGGCCCACAAAACCGAGCAGCATTTTGATTGCAGCTCAAAGGGAGCTCATCATCTCAAGCGCTCTTCAGTTGCATTCCTGTGAATTGGTAGTTCAGCCTTCGTCTGACCACAGTCCAAAAACATGGAGTTATGGTGATGCTTACCCTCTCTCTCTCTCTCTCTCTCTCTTTCTCTACCCTAGAGCCTGCATCTCATTGCTGTTAGCGCTCTAATCATTCCCAGAAGAGGCTTTTCCATCTCAAATTGTACCACATTGCTCTGTTCTCCCTCCATCTTCTCAGCTCGTTCCCACGTTCCAGAAAAGGACCAGTGATTTTGTTGAGATTTGTCAGGATTAGTCGCAAGTCTGACTTCTGTCCAAGAGCTGAGATTGGACAAGCGATCCGGTGCCAAGGTCCGCGTTTTACCACTACAGAGAATTCCTTTAAGCAGTGCCATTTGTGATAAGCTCTACAGTCTGAGTGGTTGTTGTACTTATATAATATCTGCGCATAAGAAATCCTGTTCAGTGTGTCAAAATCAGCACTGGTTTGTTGTGTGGATGAGGGCGTAACGCTAGGCCAGGCAAGTTTATTTATATCGCACATTTTCATACTCAAAGGCAATTCAAAGTGCTTAACACTACGGCTGTTGGTGCAGTTGGCCCCAGCTGAGAGTTAATCAGCATTTGAGGTCTGCTCTGAGCAGAATAACACATCACTACTACACTGTGTTACTGTGTTGTCTCTGGATATTGTCAGTGTGCATGTGACCGAACAGGTGTAACAAATGACGGCAGCTCCACTTCTGGCCACTTATCAGAGGGATCTTATTTTGGAAAGAGATAGTAGGCAGGAAATTTGAGTTGTTGTAGAGAGGTGCACTACTTACCAATTATCTCAAAAAATGAAAACCACAAAGTCCTATTTAAGGACTACTTTCTTGTATCTTTGGGTTGTTTGTTTAGGTGGCATGTCCCTTACTGTATTATGGCTGATGTCACATGGCAACCATAAAATCTCCTCTAATTTACTAATGGCAACAACAGTTAGCCTATGGTGTCAGTGGCTTAGCTGCTTCAGCCTAGTGTGGATGTCAGGCTGTGTTTAATGGCCGACTTATCAGCTACAGCCACAGTTAGCAGTCAGAGGGAAGCCGCATCCATCTTCCCAATTGTACCTGATGAGATATCGATCACATACATCTCAGTACATCAATATTCCCATAGCTTCCTAGTGCACAGTACAGGTGGGTTACATGATGGCTGAAACACTGCACCAGTATGTACAGTGCGAGGGAGCAGGCAACATACAGTACTATAATACAGTTAATGATCCTAAAAATACTGTGTGGCTGCATGTCTTCATGCTCACACATTTTTTGAGATGCTTCCATCGTTGCACTGGTTCCTCTGCTCTCTCTCTCCCTGCTTAGCCCACACAAGAAAAGGTCTAAAGTTCTATCTTGATGCACAGAACTGAGCAATGGTTTCTTGTAAATCTCACTGTATCCATACTGTCTTTCTCC